TGATTTCAGGCTGTAACAACAAATGTGGGAATAAGTCAAGGAATATGACTACTTTCTGACGCCACTGTATGTTTTTTCCTAATAATGTTGCTCATAGAGTTTGACTTGATTAGATTCATACAACAAAGATGAGGCTAATCCAATGACCATGACTATAGACCAAGCCAGTAGTCAGCTAGGCCTATGTCTTCATGGAGAGTATGCTCAATCCCCAACTCTTTGTAGCATAAATCTCTGTTTTGGTGATGTTCTGCACTGCCTTCTATTGTTGATCCGTGCCAATCACAAGAACAGAGATTTAGGCTACAAAGAGTTGGGGATTGAGCATCCTCTACATGAAGATATAGGCCTAGTCAACAACTGGCTTGGTCTATAGTCATGGTCCCTCATGCACTAGCCTTATTTTTGTTGAATGAATCTAATCAAGTCAAACTCTATGAGCAACATTATGAAGAAAAATAAAACATATAGGGCCCGTTTCCCAGACAGATTAGGCCTAAACCTAAAACTAGTCCTGGACAAAAAAGCAAGCTCAGAATGCTTTTAGTCCAGGACCAGGGTAAATCTGTGTCCAGGAAAACAGCCCATAGAGAACTTATCTGCCTTTGGATTCTGTTCTTGCTTCTTTCTGACTCTCCCCTGGCTCATGGACTATTGGTAACAAATAACCTACTGTCTAGCTGGATTGCTATAACATCCTGTTTTGGCAGCATGGGTTCAAATTATTTTAATTAAAAGCTACTCAATTATAAGCTTTCACCCTCGTAGTAGTAGCTAGCTAACACAGGTAAAAACCAATGACAAGGTGGCAGCTTGCTATTATCTGTGGTGGTGGTAGCTGCTTTTAGCAACGGTAGTATTGTCACACTAGTGTTGCTGGGAATTAGTTTGCAAAAAAACAATAGTCCTCCGGAAAATTCAATTTCAACGTACTCTGTCGATTGTCTGTAGGCTTGGTCCTTATGCAGGAGGGAATTTGAGAAAAAACATCTAATGGAATATAATTAAACAGAATTTCCAAACGTGAGTCTGTTGTATACCCATGCAGTTCATCTCGGCTTACCTCATGTCAAAATAAAAGTCCCACACAAGTTATTGCTTTGTTTTGTGTGCAGGTATGGCGCACGTGCAGGACTGTATTTTGACACGAGGTTTAGTTTAGTGTATTAGGATCGCCATTAGCTATTACACATTCAGCAGCTACTCTTCCTGGGGTCCACCAAACAAAGGTACAGATTTTAATATATAGCTAGGTAAGCGGGTCTACAACAGACCCACGTTTGGAATGCCTGTTTAATTTGTTTTTCTCAAATCCCCCTCCACCCCATAAGGACCAACACCACGGACAACCGGCAGAGTAGTGAGTTTAAATGTAATGTTTTACTTCTGGGACTATTCCATTTTTTACAAGCTAATTATGACATATGTGGTGGCGGTAGCTGCTTCAAGGCTAGTGTGTAAATACTAGCCTTGCTAAAAGCAGCCATGGTGGTGGTTGTCAGATGCTAACTTTAGTCTGTCATTTCAATACGTTTTGGATGATAGGCATGCAGATGATAGTAAAATAGCTAGCTTGCGAACTTCTGCCTCCTAGGCAAATCCAAGTTAAATTATATACAAGTGAGCGGGGGGGACTAAAATAGGTAACTTTAGCATGCCCAAAACAGATGTGCTAACTAGCTCATGTTAGCTGCTACACATGCGCAACAACACTGAATCGAAAAGTTAGCTAGCCAAGTAAATAGCTATGTTTCCACATTTCTATTAATCTTTATTCAGGAAATGTATACACGCTTTTAATGGTGTTTCTAGCGATGGCACGCTTCCTAGAACATTCTACATTTGTAGAGTGAAGGACAGCTTCTGAAGGTGAAGTCCAGTTATTACTAGCAAATAATATAGCTAGCCAACTTACTACATTACTTAGCTGCAAACTAAGAGGCATTGGAAAGCTCTAAATATTGTTTTAGCTATTGCAATTAAATGCAAATGTCATTATCCAGCTGAGCACTGGGGACATAGCTAGCTAGAACGTGTTAGCTAGCGCATAGCAAACTGCATTGTTTTTAGCTAACGTTAGCTAGCCAACTCTCTCGAGATGCTACTATGCTAGCTAACGGAGTATTACGGCAAAGTGTTGGAATTTCCCTTCCAAAGTTTGAAAATTTTACCGACGTAGACCATAGGTCTATGATTAGAGTTTGTCAAATTTAATCTTACCATTGGTATAATGTATTTTGCTTTAGTCGAATGTCTTCGTACTGAATCCGCACCGCTTTGTCTGTTGTTAGACCACTATTTAGCAGGAAGTTTGGATTATTCATGGTACACCGTGTGCAATCCGCGATCCTTGGGACGTCACTAGATTAGAAAAGGGTTATGGTTAGAGTAGGGACGTCCTAAAGAGCACGGATTGCACTAACCACGCGTGTCGCGTTGCCAAATTCGGATATATATTTGTTCCACTAATTGGTCTTTTGACCAATCACATCAGATCGTTTCAAATCAAACATTTGGCTGCCTGTCTAAACGCAACCATAAAAAGTGGATAGATGTAGCTACAATGTAACAACATGAAGTAGAGAGATGTAACAATGTTACAGCATGGAAAACATTGCCATGGATATTTCCCCACAGAAAGTATTACTGATGGTGCTCACTGCTCCTTGTAAGTAATATACACTGAGTGTACAAAACATTAAGAACACCCCCCAGAACAGCTGGCTCATGGACTCTACAAGGTGTCGAAATCGTTTCACAAGAATGCTGGCCCATGTTGGCTCCAATGCTTTCCACTGTTGAATCAAGTTGGCTGGATGTCCTTTGGGTGGTGGACCATTCTTAATACACACGGGAAACTATTGAGCATGAAAAACCCAGCAGCGTTGCAGTTCTTGACACAAACCAGTGTGCCTGGCACATACTACTATACCCCGTTCAAAGGCACTTAAATATTTTGTCTTGCCCATTCAACCTCTGAATTGCACAAATACATAATCCATGTCTCAATTTTCTCAAGGCTTAAAAATCCTTCTTTAACCTGTCTACTCCCCTTCACCTATGTCCATCCTGCCCTGCCTTTCGAAAGTATTTGAAAGCCAAGTTAACAAACAGATCACCGGCCCATTTCGAATCCCACCGTACCTTCTCCGCTATGCAATCTGGTTTCCGAGCTGGTCATGGGTGCACCTCAGCCACGCTCAAGGTCCTAAACAATATAATAACCACGATCGATAAAAGACAGTACTGTGCAGCCGTCTTCATCGACCTGCATTCTTATTGGCAGACTAAATAGCCTTGGTTTTCGTCAAATGACTGCCTCGCCTGGTTCACCAACTACTTCTCAGATAGAGTTCAATGTTCAAATCGGAGGGCCTGTTGTCTGGACCTCTGGCAGTCTCTATGGGGGTGCCACAGGGTTCAATTTTCGGGCAGACTCTATTCTCTGTGTATATCAATGATGTCGCTCTTGCTGCTGGTGACTCTCAGATCCACCTCTACGCAGACGACACCATTTTGTATACATCTGGCCCTTCATTGGACACTGTGTTAACAAACCTCCAAACGAGCTTCAATGCCATACAACACTCCTTCCGTGGCCTCCAACTGCTCTTAAACGCTAGTAAAACTAAATCGAACACTGCTTGCACCCGCCCGACTAGAATCACTACTCTCGGCGGGTCTGACTTAGAATATGTGGACAACTACAAATACCTAGGTGTCTGGTTAGACCGTAAACTCTCCTATCAGACTCACATTAAGCATCTCCAATCCAAAGTTACATCTAGAAACGGCTTCCTATTTCGCAACAAAGCCTCCTTCACTCATGCTGCTAAACATGCCCTCGTAAAACTGACTATCCTACCGATCCTTGACTTCGGCGATGTCATTTACAAAATAGCTTCCAACACTCTACTCAGCAAATTGGATGTAGTCTATCACAGTGCCATCCGTTTTGTCACCAAAGCCCCAAATACTACCCACCATTGTGACCTGTACGCTCTCGTTGGCTGGCCCTCACTACATATTTGTCGCCAAACCCACTGGCTCCAGGTCATCTATAAATCACTTCTAGGCAAATCCCCGCCTTATCTTAGCTCATTGGTCACCATAGCAACACCCACCCGTAGTATGCGTTCCAGAAGGTATATCTCACTGGTCATCCCCAAAGCCAACACCTCCTTTGGCTGCCATTCCTTCCAGTTCTCTGCTGCAAATGACTGGAAAGAACTGCAAAAATCTCTGAAGCTGGAGACACTTATCTCCCTCACTAACTTTAAGCATCAGTTGTCAGAGCAGCTTACCGATCACTGCACCTGTACACAGCCCATCTGTAATTAGGCCACCCAACTACCTCATCCCCATATTGTTATTTACATTGTTATTTATTTTGCTAATTTGCACCCCAGTATCTCTATTTGCACATCATCTTCTGCACATATATCATTCCAGTGTTAATACTACATTGTAATTATTTTGCACTATGGCCTATTTATTGCCTTACCTCCATAACTTACTACATTTGCACACACTGTATATAGACTTTCTATTGTGTTATTGACTGAACGTTTTGTTTATTCCATATGTAACTCTGTGTTGTTGTTTTTATCGCACTGCTTTGCTTTATCTTGGCCAGGTCGCAGTTGTAAATGAGAACTTGTTCTCAACTGGCTTACTTGGTTAAATAAAGGTGAAATAAAAATAAAATAAATACATCTACACTGATTGAAGTGGATTTAACAAGTGACATCAATAAGAGATCATAGCATTCACCTGGTCAGTCTGTCATGGAAAGAGCAGTTGTTCATAATGTTTTGTACACTCAGTGCATATGATTGAATGTAGCCTAATTCTCCAGGAGACCAGCACCAATAATCAAAATGTACTGGGTGTGTGGTGCTTTTTTAATTAATATGAAAATCTATGTAAACATGTTCCTTGGAATAGTATGTAGTCAGCCAAAATGGACTACTTACTATTTTAGCATACTACTTACCAAGACCATTTCACACATTTTCAAAAATATATTTTCTTAAAACTCCTCAATTCAGTATCAAACTTGCCTCCAGAAAAACATTTGCTTCATACCTTACATTTAAATTTGGTCAATACATTTTATTTACCATTTTGAACAGATAGATTACAATTCAATATTTAATTCATCAATACTAGGAATTTATCCTCTGGTCTTTAAACATACAGTACATTATGTGTCGTGACATGTAAATAAATATACATAGAGAAATAAAATACAAAAACAAATAAGATAAGTAAAGCTTCCAAATATGGAAGAAAATCACCTAGAACTGTATTGCGTTGTTTGTAATTTTCTACAAGAAGGAAGTGGTACCACAGAATGGTCTGTAGATATTCACTGCAGTCTACACTTCTTTGCAGACCAACATTTTCAGACTCAGCAGGGTCAATGAAGTGTAAGTGACATATCAAAAACAAATCTTAAGTGATTTTCGTCATGAATAGATAACCTTGTAATGGCTGACAGAACAATTATCATATCTGTTAAGGCCAAATAAAATAAAATCAGTTCATGCCCTTTTTTATTTTGACTACTGACATCTGGTAAACACTGTGATCTTCCATAATCTGTCATTTTTAGAGGATAATTCTTTAAGGCATGATGACTAATGGAAAAATATATCTCTGGTGAATTAAAGGTGATTCTTGCCAAACCTGCAATGTTATTGCACTATTTAGGGCCATCACTAAATTAACGTCGCTAGCACTGTTTACAAAGAGCCATTTCAGACTAAGCTCTCGTCATTGCAGCAGCACAGCTTTTCAGGTCGTTGTCTCTAGACCATGAGGATAACAGGGAAGAAATAGATACGTATGGATCAGGCCTTCCTATCCTACTGTAACATGGCTGGAACAGACAGGCACACTTTACAAAATGAAAGACATGCACAGTTCCTTTCTATATCAATCTAGCAGGAGTTCTGTACACAATGCAAATGGATATACATAACAATATAATGGATTCTCTAGAGTGTTTTGCCAGCAAAACAGCAATCACTTTCACTCGCAAGAATAACAATGATTGATATGTGTTATTACTGCAGAATACCTATTATTGCTGGTAAAATGTCATACTCCATTTACTGTATTTATGATGAAAAATATATGAATGAGTCTACAAACATGTCAACACAATTTGTCAACACAGTCTCGGGGGTAAATGTGTAAAAGTGCAGGTATTAGAAGAACAAAGGCAAGAAAATGTTGTTCACATAGGGAGTATAAATAGTTAAACATTTAGAGCTTGCTAATATATTACTATGGTTTTTGTTAAAGATCCAAGTGGAAAATGTGTTTTTAAAAGAGTACTTTGTAATTTCTCAAACTGAAATACAGTAGTAAAATGAACAGTACCATAAAATGGAAAACAAATAAACTATTTGGTAAGATTACGATTCAATTAGTATGCCATGACATGATTTTGCAGATTTCTTGTAAAATAAAATATTCTGTATCTGCTTTCTACGCATTGTCATTAATTTGCGCTAAAATTTTCAGTATGTGGAGAAAATTTTTCCACCAGTAGAATTTGGTTCAGATGGTACCATAGTACCCTATTTGGTCCCCCAAAAATTATGTTGAAATTTCATTATCCATTCTGGTGTTTTCCTACTTGTTTGAGATATGATTTTGTGGGTGAACAGATATGCAGATGACCAAGAGACAGAGTGGATGCTTAAGCAATGCAATCATTTTCTTGACCCTTGTTTCCTCAAGTGCAATCCAGCATTCACATAACAAACAGATAACAAATGCATTGTGACTTGGACAGACGTATATCTTCAATATATGCAGAAAGATCAGGAAGGCATGGACCTCTCTACAGCTAGCGCCAGGGTCATAAGTCCAAACAGACTGGAAAGTGTTGTGGGTTTGATGCGGCCGGCTCTTCTTGCTTAGCCCTGTTCGTACAGTACTGTTCTCGCTGCCTTGAAACTTCAGGCACTTCACTCTTATCTCCGACAGTGGTCGTAGTCCACAGCGATTCGAGAGAAATGTCCTTTCTCCCTGTAGTACTAAATGTAATCTCTGTTTCCCACCTTGGCACACTTTGGATCAGTTTTGGGGTGGGTAGGTAGGTAGGTAGGTAGGGCCATCGGTGTTGAAAATGAGAGTCCCATGCAATCTACACCCCTTATGCAACAGACAAGATCTGGAGTTTCTGGACCCCCTTTTCATGCCTCTTAGGCATGTCACTCAGGAGTTCCATTAGCAGGCCATGCACACCTCCTAAGCTGCTCTAACAGTACATGGTCACTGTCCCAGGCAGCGTCTCTGTCTGTGTCTGTCTGTTCCTATTCCCCCTCTCGACTGTGGAGGGGATGAGGATCGAGGTGGATAGAGGAGTCCTTCACATGAAGCCGTCAGCAGGTCCATAGGAGAAGCCTGGGAAGGCTCCAGCTGCCTCCTTGATGCTGCTAGTCACCAGCAGGCCGTCCGTGTTGCACAGAGATGAGGTCACAGGGAGGTGGGTGAACTCTGGGTCAAAGTGCCTGAGGTCCGTAGGCCCGCTCTGTGAAAAACAACCAGCCAGAGCAGTATATTAGAAACATGCTCCAAAACACAAACATAAAATTCACATTTCACACCCATACAGCCTCTAAATATATACATTGTTGTCCTTGGGATGCAGTTTGTGACCATTATTGAGTAAGACAAAAAACAATTGAACTTCTACTTGACGTGAACAAGAAAAGGTACATTTTTACTTCTCTCACGTTAACCCTGGAAGCCTATATGTATACATTGTTGATAGATGTAGATGTACTTACCACTGAGGGAATGTAGGGTGGTGTGATTTTCCTTGCCATCAGGTCATCCCAGTTGATGGGTGAAAAGAAGGCATGGCACTTCAGTTCCATCTAGAGGCAGATTAAAACACTACATCAATCCACTGGTACAGAACAACACTACTGACACCTTGGTAATATTTTTCTTTGGTGTTCTTCAAATAATGTATTTGTTTGTTGTACGTGTGTGTGTTCTTACAAAATCGTCTTTCACTCCCAGTCTCTTAGTTCGGTCCTTTTGCAGGAGCCCCTCCAACAGTTCTCTGCCTGCGTTGGACACGTTGGGCTTCAGTATGAGAGGCTTGTTCAGGATATTGTTGTACATCTCAGCTGTGTTGCGGCTGTAGAAGGGGGGCTATGGAGAGAGAGACAGCAAAAATCAGTAAATGCTACTTGGCCAAACTCCTTACGCACCATGATTGTCAGTGTACTTATGTGATTCATACTGACATTCTTTATATTTAACTGACATGGTGACATACGGTGTGTCCCACCAGAGTCTATAGAGCTCTGGTCAAATGAAGTGCACTATATAGGGAATAGGGTGCCATTGGGGATGCTTCCATAGTGGATATCATAACTATTGTAGATGCATTGTGAAAGCTGAACCATGAAAGAGATGCTGGAAAAGAGCAGTGATCAGTGATGACTCACCAGTCCATAGAGCATCTCGTACAGCACGGATCCCAGGCACCACCAATCCACGGTTCGGTCATACGCCTGCTTCTGCAGCACCTCGGGTGCCAGGTACTCTGGGGTTCCACAGAAGGTGGTGGTGGTCCCAGTGGGCGCCAGGCCCTCTTTGCAAAGGCCAAAGTCTGTCAGGACGATGTGGCCCGCAGAGTCTAGCAGGATATTCTCAGGCTTCAGATCTCTGAAGGAGAAGAGAAAGGTGAGGGTTAGGAAAACGCCAACCAAATAAATACAATACTTACATTTTTCTTGTCACATTAATTCTCCAGTATCCCTTAGCGTTCAGTCCTTATCAGTTAAAAAATAGGTAGGTAAACGATGATCGCCGTTCGCGGTGAGTAAGGTAACGCTCCCTATACTTACAATGCATTTTTGCGCAAAAGGTGGGTAAACACTCACGCAAAATAAAAAAGGTGTTTACGTGCGTTTACCTTCCACTAAACCACTGGCCCTTATTCACTAGACCAGACTACACATTTCTATGAGTGGTATTTTTTCTGTCATGCTATCATATATGGTCACCACCAGAGGGTACTGTAGGATAGGATCTTAGTTCATACCTGTAAACAATATGCAGAGAGTGGAGGTATCCCAGAGCACTGGCGATCTCTGCAGCGTAGAACCTGGCTCTGGGTTCTAGAAACACCCGCTCTCTCTGGAGATGGTAGAACAGCTCTCCTCCATTCACGTAGTCAAGCACAAAGTACAGCTTGTCGGTAGTCTGGAAGGAATAGTGCAGCCCCACCAGGAAAGGATGTTTGATATTCTTCATCAGGACACTTCGCTCTGCCATGATATGCTTTTGCTGGATGAGGGAGGAAGAGAAAGAGAGAGATGAGCATACCACTCACAATGACATCAGTGCAATACTTCAATTAGAGCAACTGAGTGAGCGACTGAATGGTTGTCTGTTTGTGGCTATTGCAGCTTGCTTGGAGTATTGCTTGTGTGTTTTTATGGTGAAGATCAGTAGAGTAAGACTCACCTCTTTCTTCTTCAAGATGATTTTCTTCTGTAGAACCTTGACAGCGTAATACTCGTTGCTCTCCCTGTGTCGAGCCAGCAGCACCTTCCCAAAGCTCCCTTTGCCGATGATTTTCAGGTAGTCGAAATCACATGGTTTGATCGCCAACTCCTCAGCTAGTGAGCTTCTGGGGGAGGTCAGTAACGTCTAAGAACAGAGGAGGAGAGAAGGAGGTAAGAATGACCATCTTGGCTCTGGATAAAATGATCTATTTTCAGTTTTCACACTGGTAAATATCTTAGTATGCATCTCAAATGGCACCCTATTCCCTATATAGTGCACTACCATAGGGCTCTTTAAAAAAAATGTGCACTATATAGGGAATAGGGTTCATTTTGGCTCAGTCTGTCCCAGTGGCCAAGGCATGTGTTATGCTGATGCTCACCGGATTTAAAAGTTCAGCATTGTCCATCTTCTCATTCTGGTTCTCATCGATCTTGAGGAAGTCAACTTCAGAGCTGAGGAATGAACAGAGAGAATGTTAGAATTTTAGAATGTTAGAATGGAATCCTCCTTCACTTATGATTGTCTGAGGTTATTTTGACTGATACATTCATGGCCACTTTGGGATTTTATAGGGCTGAGTGACCTCTAAGTTGACATGTTAAATTATAACAGTAGACTAATACTTGGATTACCATCAAAGGCCAGTATTACAATTCATACTATTTTTGAAAGTTGGACATTGCAATAAAATGTTGAGTTTTACAGTGATTTAATTGAGCAAATAGATAGAGAAGGTTCCATCTGTCATAACTGACCCAAATGAGATACAAACCGGCCAAGACTGTCAATAAGGGTCTCTTCTCTAACTCCTGAGAGACTATTCAGTTGTTGTTGACCCCCTATACAGCATGTAGCCTGCAGCAACATCTGAAAAGTAGTTCTAAGCCGGCGGATCAGACATGACTAGCACAAACAGCCCAGAATCAGACTGCTGTAACAATCTAGCACCTGGAGAGGGTAGACAAGGTGCTTGGGAATTTTCCACTGAGCTAGACCCCCACCTGGCCCCTTTGCAGGCTGTTGAGAACAAACCATATTGTGTGGTGCGCACTTAATTGAATTACCCGGTTATCCCAGTCTAGGGGACACAGGGGATTTGCAGAAAAGGTGCTTAGGCACTGGAGAGGCCGTGGCGGGAACGTACTTGACATGAAATAACTATTCTTGTGCTGGCTTTGCCTGCTTGGCCCCAGATTACTGCTTTGACTCAGAATGTGAATAGTGACATGTGGTGGATTGGAAATGTACAGTAACTTACACTGACCTAGGTAGACCGATACAATTGTAAATAAACACACAGGCCTAATGTAATGCCATGGGAAGCAGATGAAATGACGCACAGAGGCCTATTGTGTGCGTACCTGTCATATAGATATCTCGGCTATTTGATAAATATCTATACTTTCACAAAAGGTAATTTGTCATAATATTGTCATATTTCAATGGCAGTTGGTAGCCTATATATAATATCTAAACATCTAATTTGGCCATATAAGTGCTCCATATAATACTTACTGTTGACACATATGTGGGTTTGACACCAGCCTCGATATGAAGTCGTTAAGTCCAATTTTCCTCTCCTTGATGAAAGCTGCAAATCAAAAATAAGCATTTATGTCAGCTGGGCGCCAAGAGAATACAACGTCACAGATTTAACACAGCATTTCAACAGACCTAGGCTATACCATTGCAGAACTGGGGACATGGATAGATAGGCTTCACTATCTACCTGGCATAACAGCCTACATTTCATCACAGTGCGGTGAACAGTCTATAAATTATAGCCCTATGCCTATACTAAATCTGTTCAAAACTTTAATCTTAAAATGTTTCAGAGGTTGAAAAAATATTTGGAATGGATCCCGCTATAACGCATTATGTGCAGCATTTAGTCGTTATGCAACACAATATTACTATTCCTTTGGCGACCCGCCGTGTCGTATAGTGAAAAATAACATTCACAGCCTATATCACAAACATTGACATGAGTACGTCAGAGCAGGAGACAGGCACTCCCATCGCCAGTTATGCAAGTTCCAGATTGAATGCATTGTCGGTATGTGGTCCAAGAAGAACCCAAGAAAGAATACACACCAATAGACTACAGTCCAAATCATAATCCAAAGAATGCTGATGCATACTATTAAACACCACAATGTAGAAGCTAAATTCTAAATAAAACCATTTAACTGAATAATTTGCCTACCAGTGAGAACTGACACAATTCCTCTCATCTTGCAATAAGACAAGTCACATGGAGCCTCGGTAACAGCCATGGTGGACAAAAAAGATAGATATATCCACTTGTAAAACAACCCCAGTATAAATAGAAAGCCCCGTTATGGAGAAGATACGCTGGTTGCTCTAGTACCAATTGCTCCACTTCATGCGCACAGACTACAGAGAGTCCTGCCTGCGAACACGATCAGTCCTAAATGCCTATCCAGCGCGCTGGGCGGCAAGGCATTATATACGGAGCACGTGGTTTGAGGAGGAGAGGCACACTGACGTCACTTGGTTACCAAGCAACTGTCAGGAGGCAGTGATGTCACGGGATTCCGCAGCTCCATCTCTTGCCTGCAGGGGGATGACAGGAGACGCGGGATGACAGGAGGCGCGCAGCAGCGCATGGGTGGAGCGCGCCAGATTGAACATCCCCCCCAACCCTTTTCTATCAATGGAAAGATACGGATGGCTGTCATCTCGCTAGAACCGATAGGATTAAAGACACTGGATCATTTATAATGAAAATGGAATAACAGGTGCATTGATCCTCCACTGACTTCTGTTACCAGCCTCATAAATACACTGAACAAAAATATAAACGCAACATGTAAAGTGTTGGTCCCATGTTTCATGAGCTGAAATAAAAGATCCTAAAAATGTTCCATACACACAAAAAGCTAACATCCCTGTTAGTGAGCATTTCTGTCGCGTATCAAGAAGCTGATTAAACAGCATGGTCATTACACAGGTGCACCTTGTGCTGTGGACAATAAAAGGCCACTCTAAAATGTGGAGTTTTGTCACACAACACAATGCCACAGATGTCTGAAGTTTTGAGGGAGTGTGCTATTGGCATGCTGACTGCAGGAATGTCCACCAGAGCTATTGCCAGATAATTGAATGTTAATTTCTCTACCATAAACCGCCTCCAACGTCGTTTTAGAGAATTTGGCAGTACGTCCAACCGGCCTCACAACCGCAGACCATGTGTATGGTGTCGTGTGGGCGAGCGGTTTGCTGATGTCAACGTTGTGAACAGAGTGCCCCATGGTGGTGGGGTTATGGTATGGGCAGGCATAAACTACGGACAACGAACACAATTGCATTTTATCAATGGTCATTTTAATGCACAAAAATACAGTGACAAGATCGTGAGGCCCATTCCCAGTCATGTGAAATCCATAGATTAGGGCCTAATTTATTTATTTCAATTGAAAGATTTCCTCATATGAACTGTAACTCAGTAAAATCTTTGAAATTGCTGCATGTTGCGTTTTATATTTTTGATTAGTATAAATTAACTCAATACAGGCTACTTTCTCCAATGAACAGGATTCCTTTATATGAGGATGGAGAAAGGTATTTCATGATTAAGCATTACGTTTCTGCAGCCAATTTCCCTGTTTGCGTCATCAGCAAATATCCAATATGTTCTTATGAAAGGATGGAAGCAAGTCAATGCAAGGAACATTCAAATGCAGGTGAAAATATGCCACCAAAAAGTGATTCTTCTTTTATATTCTGTATGCATTATATTCGACAATGCACCCTCAAATCTCCTCTCTCCACTTCCCTGATATAAGGCCCAGTTGTGGACCTATGCATAGTGACAGTGCAGATCAAAACGCTAAAACAAACAGCAGGAACAAAACAGAGAACTGTCAGGGGGAACTTCTAGGCTGTGTCCCAAATGACACCCTATTCCCCACAGAGCACACTACTTTTGAGTAGGGCCAATAGAGCTCTGGTCAAATGTAGTGAACTATGTAAGGAATAGGGTGCCATTTGGGATGTTTTATTTGCTCAATGGCATGTGATAGTCATACATACTTCGAAGGATGTCCCATCTTGGGACTGAATTTGACAGGGATGGTCCTACTATATAAGAGGAAGCATTTTGTCAAGCTAACTAATTACATGAAGAAACAAAATGGTGTGGAGACAACAGCTGATCGTGTTATGGTAGTATACATCCCCAGCAAAGATATATTTTCACACCGTCAGGATCAGATGGCACGACATTGACACCTGGGCTGTGTCCCAAATCGGGCCCTGTTCCCTACATTATATAATGTACTACTGGTCAAAAGTAGTCAACTACAGGGAATAGGGTGCCATTGATTTATTAACTTTTTTTTTTTTTTTAATATACATACATAAAGGTGCTCCAGCGGGTGATGCCTCCACATACAATTGAAGAAAATCATCAAGGATAACACAAACTTGTTTCCATTGTGGTCCTTTTGGAGGGGGAAGGATGCAGCAAGTGTAGTGGTAACAAACAATGACAGACACAATTGTTTGTTTCATAAAATGAGCTAATTAGTATAGTTCCATTTCCTAATAAACAACTCTGGACAGGTACATCTCCCTTGTCTCACATACCTCGAAGTATAAAACAATCAATCCCTAATAAATACAGTGCATTCTGAAAGTATTCAGACCCCTTCCTCTTTTCCACATTTTGTTAACGTGACAGCCTTATTCTAAAATGGATTAAATAAATAAAAATCCTCATCAATCTACACACAATACTCCATAATGACAAAGCGAAAACAGGTTTTAGAAATGTTTAGCTAATTTATTATAAACTAAATTAAGATTGAACTCTTTGGCCTGAATGCCAAGCGTCACGTCTGGAGGAAACCTGGCACCGTCCCTACGGTGAAGCATGGTGGTGGCAGCATCATGCTGTGGGGATGGTTTTCAGCGGCAGGGACTGGGAGACTAGTCAGGATCGAGGGAAAGATGAACGGAGCAAAGTACAGAGAGATCCTTGATGAAAACCTGCTCCAGAGCGCTCAGGACCTCAGACTGGGGCGAAGGTTCACCTTCCAACAGGACAACGACCCTAAGCACAACAATGCAGGAGTGGCTTCGGGACAAGTCTCTGAATGTCCTTGAGTGGCCCAGTCAGAGCCCAGACTTGAACCCGATCGAACATCTCTGGAGAGACCTGAAAATAGCTGTGCAGCAACGCTCCCCATCCAACCTGACAGAGCTTGAGAGGATCTGCAGAGAAGAATGGGAGAACCTCCCAAATACAGGTGTGCCAAGCTTAAAGCGTCATACCCAAGAAGACTCAATGCTGTAATCGCTGCCAAAGGTGCTTCAACAAAGTACTGAGTAAAGGGTCTGAATACTTATGTAAATCTGATATTTCAGTTTTAAATTTGTAATAAATTAGCAAAAATGTATAAAAACCTGTTTTTGCTTTGTCATTATGGGCTATTGTGTGTAGATTGATGAGGGGAAAAAACGATGTAATCCATTTTAGAATAGTGCTGTAACCTAACAATGTGGAAAAAGTAAAGGGGTCTGAATACTTACCTTCTTTATTATTTTCCCCTAACCCTACCACCCCTCCCCTAATTGGAGTAAACTAATGGACAACAACATTAGACTTCTACTTCAAGTTTATACAGTTGAAGTCGGAAGTTTACATACACCTTAGCCAAATACATTTAAACTCAGTTTTTCACAATTCTTGACATTTAATCCTAGTAAAAATTCCCTGACTTAGGTCAGTTAGGATCACCACTTTATTTTAAGAATGTGAAATGTCAGAATAATAGTAGAGAGTGATTTATTTAAGCTTTTATTCATTTCATCACATTCCCAGTGGGTCAGAAGTTTACCTACACTCAATTAGTATTTGGTAGCATTGCCTTTAAATTGTTTAACTTGGGTCAAACGTTTCGGGTAGGCTTCTACAAGCTTCCCACAATAAGTTGGGTGAATTTTGGCCCATTCCTCCTGACAGAGCTGGTGTAACTGAGTCAGGTTTGTAAGCCTCATTGCTCGAATTTTACATTTTACATTTTAGTCATTTAGCAGACGCTCTTATCCAGAGCGACTTACAGTTAGTGAGTGCATACATTTTCATACTGGTCCCCTGTGGGAATCGAACCCACAACCCTGGTGTTGCAAGCGCCATGCTCTACCAACTGAGCTACATGGGACTCGCACACGCTTTTCCAGTTCTGCCCACACATTTTCTATAGGATTGAGGTCAGGGCTTTGTGATGGCCACTCCAATACCTTGACTTTGTTGTCCTTAAGCCATTTTGCCACAACTTTGGAAGTATGCTTGGGGTCATTGTCCATTTGGAAGACCCATTTGCGACCAAGCTTTAACTTCCTGACTGATGTCTTGAGATGTTTCTTCAATATATCCACATAATTGTCCTTCCTCATGATGCCATCTATTTTGTGAAGTGCACCAGTCCCTCCTGCAGCAAAGCTCCCCCACAGCATGATGCTGCCACCCCCGTGCTTCACGGTTGGGATGGTGTTCTTCGGCTTGCATGCCGTCCCCTTTTTCCTCCAAACATAACGATGGTCATGATGGCCAAACAGTTCTATTTTTGTTTCATCAGACCAGAGGACATTTCTTCAAAAAGTACGATCTTTGTCCCCATGTGCAGTTGCAAACCATAGTCTGTCTTTTTTTACGGCGGTTTTGGAGCAGTGGCTTCTTCCTTGCTGAGCGGCCTTTCAGGTTATGTCGATATAGGACTTGTTCTACTGTAGCTATAGATACTTTTGTACCTGTTTCCTCCAGCATCTTCACAAGGTCCTTTGCTGTTGTCCTGGGATTGATTTGCACTTTTCCCACCAAAGTACGTTCATCTCTAGGAGACAGAACGCGTCCCATGGTGTTTATACTTGCGTACTATTGTTTGTACAGATGAACGTGGTACCTTCAGGCGTTTGGAAATTGCTCCCAAGGATGAACCAGACTTCTGAGGTCTTGGCTGACTTCTTTTGATTTTCCCATGATGTCAAGCAGTTTGAAGGTAGGCCTTGAAATACATCCACAGGTACACCTCCAATTGACTCAAATGATGTCAATTAGCCTATCAGAAGCTTCTAAGCGTCATTTTCTGGAATTTTCCAAGCTGTTTAAAGGCACAGTCAACTTAGTGTATGTAGTGACCCACTGGAATTGTGATACAGTGAATTATAAGTGAAATAATCTGTCTGTAAACAATTGTTGGAAAAATGACACAAAGTAGATGTCCTAACCGACTTGCCAAAACTATAGTTTGTTAACAAGAAATTTGTGGTGGTTGAAAAAAGAGTTTTAATGACTCCAACCTAAGTGTATGTAAACTTCCGACTTCAACTTTACATACTACAGTATAAACATTTTATGGACACAGTATATTTTACATTAGTTATCGTTTTTGTTTGTTTTTAGTTC